GACTCAACAAGCCATTTCAAAACGCCTCAAAGCAATGGGAATGACTCAGAAGCAAGGAATTGGGTGCCGTACGAGTTGAAGGCGAGAGATGTTGAACGACGTTTGTTTGCTTGTGAACAGCTGCTTGAAAGGCAAAGATGGAAGGGATTTCTGCATCGCATTGTGTCTGGGGACGAAAAATGGGTTCATTACGATAACCCCAAGCGCAGAAAATCATGGGAGTTCCCGGCCATGCTTCCACGTCGACGGTCAAACCGAATATTCACGGCTCCAAGGTCATGCTCTGTATTTAGTGGGATCAACTCGGCATAGTGTATTATGAGCTGTTGTTAAAACCGACTTAAACAATCACAGGCGATCGGTATCGAACGCAATTGATGCGTTTGAGCCGAGCATCGAAAGACAAACGACCGCAATACAACGAGAGACACGATAAAGTGATTTTGCAGCATGACAATGCTCGACCCCATGTTGCGAAAGTGATCAAGACATACTTGGAAACGTTGAAATGGGAAGTCCTACCCCACCCGCCGTATTCCCCAGACGTTGCTTCCTCTGACTGTCACTTGTTTCGATCAATGACACACGGTCTGGCTGACCAGCACTTCCGGTCTTATGAAGAAGTAAAAAATTGGATCGCCTCAAAAGATGACCAGTTTTTTCGACGCGGGATTTGTACGCTGCCCGAAAGATGGGAGAAAGTAGTAGCCAGCGATGGACAATACTTTGAATCATAAATGTATAACCAGTTTTTTACAATAAAGCCTCGAATTTCGGAAAAAACGGCAGAAGCAAAGTTGTACACCTAATACTATCGCTTTTTATATGATATACATCATTGTTAGAATATATATAAAATATCAACATTTTTTAAATAATGATTTTTATTGTAATATATAGCAAAGTAATTATGTAATAAACCAAAAATATATCTGAAAATTCTATTATTCTCAAATATTATTTTATACAGCAATATACATACAGCAATATATTATACATAATACTTATCAGTATACCAATTTTGGTAATTTTTGAAAAATATCTGTTTAAAAATGCGCATTTGTTTTATGTGTTAATATTAAAGAAACTTGAATGGATTGAATTAAACTGTTACTTGTATCGGCAACTATTTCTGCCGGTTTGGTAATAACAACTTCGGAAATTGCAGCTTTTTGTACGTCATCTGTATATTCTTGGGAAGAATTATTTTTATCTTGCTCTAAAATTTCTTTTGTTTCAATATCGCTGTTTAAATCAGTAACTGCAGGATTATCTTGCATGGTATTATTATTAATGTTACTAGTACATTGTACTTCCATGGTAGTATTATCACTGTCACTATTATTTGTACTCATTGCACGCTTCAAAGCTAAATATTCCTCCCTGATCCTGTTGGAGCTGTCTCAAATACGCAGAAATTATGGCGTAAGCAAATTAAAAGAATATGTATGTATTCTTACAACAAATTCGTGCTATAACAAATTTCGTTCAAAGATCGATACCCAGTGACAAACGACAATGAAATCGATATCGAATTGACGTCGATTCGATGTCGACTTGATACTTTCAACGTCGAATCGACATCGATTCGATGTCGATTCCATTATCATTTCTCACTGGATAAAGGAAAGAAAAGTATGTTATTACGCTACAATTACCAATTATCAATTTGAATCAAGCTTTGCGTGAAAAACGACCGGAATATCAAAAAAGGCAACATAAAGTGATTTTGCTTCATGATAATGCACCATCACACACAGCAAAACTGGTCAAGGAAACGATTGAGGCGTTTGGTTGGAAAATACTTTCGCATGTGGCTTACTCACCAGACTTGGCTCCGTCCGATTACTACTTATTTGCATCGATGGGACACGCACTTGCTCAGCAGCGCTTCACTTCTTACGAAGATGTACGAAAATGGCTAGATGACTGGTTTGGCTCAAAAGAGCAACAATTTTTTTGGCGTGGCATCCACAAATTGTCAGACAGGTAGGAAAAATGTATAGCTAGCGATGGACAATACTTCGAATAAAATTTTTTTTATTTCCACAAATTGTCAGACAGGTGGGAAAAATGTATAGCTAGCGATGGACAATACTTCGAATAAAATTTTTTTTATTATTTTCATACAATAAACGTGTATTTTCTATATATATTAAAAAATTCCGGTTTCATATTTACATACCTGGTATATTCAAATTTCAATATGTAAAATGGCTATTTTACTAATTGAATCATAAGATTCGGTGGTGCAGTAAATCATTATCTATCCATAATCTAACGTTTCTCGGTCTTGCCTTTCATACAACTCTATATGTTGATCAGTAATTCAAGTGATAGTTGATAATGTTTCAATAACACGCGACAATCGATAACGGCAATATTATACAGATTGCAATAAAAGGGTCTTCCCCTTTTTCTCGGCGGCATCGATGAGTTCACCATCAAGAATAGACAATAGAAATATTATACATACTGCAATGAGAGAAATGATCTTCCCTTTTTTCGCGGAACATCAATGCTCATCAGGAATGGAAACGATAATTTAAATAAATTGTTACAACACACACATGTAACAAAATAGTGCAGCAACATTTGAAAAAGTTGAGACGTTTGGTTTATCCTATTACTGAAAATCTTATTGACGTTGACCTTTAACTCTCCACGAACCAGGTGGAAAATCAATAAGGATCATATGTGGATACATTTCATACTAATACTTTATCATAAATATACTATAATTTAGTATGATTGATAACAACGCACTCTCCAGTTACCGACAACAAACCCGCGGTATTTTTTAAAAAGTTATAGGAATTCATTTTGCTGGAGTACGTCACACCCCACCTGATTCGCAAAGGTTAATCATTTTACGGTTTAACTGATTTGATTCATATTTTGCCTCTGTAGAACTGTAGACAGACGAATGGACTAATATTATAAAGTTATACAGTAAAAATTATAAAGTTTGCTACACTATTTAGGCCCGATTCCCTCAATGTAAGATTAACAATCTCGGATCAATTTACTCTTTATCTTTTCTAATTCTGAGAATTAGGAAAAGATAAACAGTAAGTTAAACCGAAATTAAAGTTAATCTTATATAGTGGAACTGAACCTTAGTATAAGTACAAATAAGTATGAGAGTAGATTGGAATCGGTAAATTCTCTCAATAATTATATTTTGTTCAATATCAGTATTATCAATATATTATATGTATCAATATTATCAGTACTCCATCAATATTATCAGTATTATATCAGTGTATTGCACTGAACATGTATTGCATTTATATATCCATTTCCAATTAAGCGATGTCAGTATACATCAGAATCCGTAAACACGACAATTTATAAGATGTAAGTAATTAAATATTATAAATAATTAAATATTAATGTTTCGTATTGTATAATTTTCATTGCATTAAATATATTAATTCAGTCAATTTATTATTTGCGAATACTTTGTAAACTTTAATAATATAAAATCTCTCTCTATTGTAATGCCTACACTGTAAAAAAATTATATATAAAATTACAACTATAGTAGATAATTTTAAGGCCCACTATAAGTGGGCCTAAAAGTACATTTACGTAAGTAAAATTATAAACACAGATAAAATACATGTAATATTACCACTATATGTTATATACATATTACAAAAGTAAACACACATTTACATAAAAACTTTAAAATAGTGTTATTTTAACTTTCCGCCTGATATAAACATATATTTATGTAATTATAGGTAAAAATACTCATTTTTTAAAATCACACTATTTTAGATATTTCCACTATAAATAATACATTTTGAAATTGTATAATCTTTGCACATATTATTTATATAATTTTATATACTTTTTTACAATGTAACGGCGTTATGCAATATATTCTTTCGTAAATATTTCTTTGAAAAGTGAAAACCATAAAAAGTGAAACAATATAAAGTTAAAAATTATTCATAATATAAGAAGTAGATCATTTATTAGAAGTAACAGAAAAAAAAACAATTTAATTCAAGATTTAATGGTAATAAAAACATACAAATTTTGATGCAAACTGGAAAAGATGATTTGCATCCGCTCGGGAATAAAACTTCGTTGTGAGACGTAAATTCTCAAGTTAGGTTTGCGACATCACGATAATTTCATTTTAAATGCAATAACGTAAAAATAATGTTTCCTTTCAACCTTTCGCAACGTGACAAATAGCTGGAAGGTGAGGGCGGTTCGAATTATCTTACTTTACCACAGTCAGGACAAGTAATCAAAATTATATATGAAACGACCTTAGATGTATCTAATATATACTGTCGCTCAAAGATTCTTTTTACATGACGTCAATATAAATCGTTCCACATGAATAACTGTAAAAATTGTTATTACGACCTGAATATTTGTATTTCAATATGCAGTTATTCGGATAGTTTCACGGTCCAAATAACCCAAAACGAACACGTTGTTTACGGTACCGAATTATTAATTAGATACAACCCACACATTGGAATTTTCTCTTACTCCGAAAAGAATCTACTGAATGCTGTCTTCAATCAAACCTTCACAAAATTCAAAAGGTAATTATTATTCCAAGAGGAATCGATGTTAAATTGAATCACATATTAAATTAAATAAGAATTACGCAATTCATCAATTTAAATTTTCTGCAAATATTAATTATTAAAAAAAAAATGTTTAATGTGATCTCATTTTCATTTATTATTAATCATATTATCAGATAAACTGTGTTATTAATATTGAATATTAATAAGCAACTATTTACCTAATTACAATAAAGATTGAAGTTTCCAGTAGAAAATTGATGACAAAGTAGAAATTAATTCTGTTAACATATATATGTAAATTTATGATTAAATTGATCAAGTTATATAATTAATTTAATATACATTTTCATGTCAGCCAATTTATTACTCTACTGTTATTTATCCTGCAATATCCAGGCCAGTAATTACAAAGGATTACATTTCTTTAGGTATATGTCACTTGAATATCCGATAACTCAACAGTATATCTCATCTAAAAAACTTTCTTGGTTAGTAGTATCATTTTAGAAAATCGGTATGCCCAAAGAAAATTTAACACTCTATAATCGTACAAATAACGACCAAAAGAAAATTTAACGCGACTATTCGTTTTGTAAAATGATTATAGTTCGCCCGTCCAATAATTATTATCTTCGCCTTTCCATCATTACAGGAAACTAAGCAAGCAGAATTATACAGTTCAAGATTATCGTTTATTTTGACCAATGAATACCAAAAACAGGTAAGGCATGGAATTCTTTACATTTTATTCTGAAAATATAAAATACTAAAATATTTTTCTGGAATAAGATTTGTATGTTAGGCTAAAAAAAATTAGAATAAAGAAAAATTTATTGTAAAATTAAAAACGATTAAAAAATATGATTTAAAATTTCAATTGTTGATCGATACATAAACTTGTGCATAGAGCAACTTTGACATGAATCTAATAAACAATAAATTAAATAATATATAAAATCTAATAATAATTAGATCTCATAAAACCATATTTTTTAGTCATTTTAAAATTTTTACAATAAATTTTTCTTTATTAATATAATATAT